TGCATCCCCACGGCTAGGCGACCTGTATGTTAAATTTGTATTGATAGGGCAGCGGGTTATGCTATAAATCATATGTCACAGTTTTTGTGCACTGATTGCAACGGTTAGATGATACCAAAAATTTTCATAAATAGGAGATCTTTCCCATTCCGGATCGAACAATCCACCAAAGATGCTTATAATCATGATACCTAGTAAATTTACATGAAAAATTCTCTGTATGTAGGTATATAAGAGCTTTCTTATATTTGTTCATCACTTTGATGATACAACACATCTGCTAAAAATGATCATAATCAGGATAGGAAACTATAACGAATGTCCACTGTATGTAAGAATTTTAAGATACTTCATTTGCAATTTAACAACAGACCATGACGGTGTTCACATTTTTCAAATATTCTTCAAGACGTGTTACACTGGACAACAAATTTTAGTTTTTTAATTGTATCTTGTGGGAAAAGTGCACTTCTTTGTTAATTTTGGGGCGCTGAATCCAAAAATGACAATGAAATAAAAAAATTAGTTGCGGTTTAGAAAAAAAACTTTTTATTTTTAAGGATATATTAAAAAAAGTAACAAGATTCATATACTTATAAGAATCACTATATGCGCTGTCTTTTTGCTGTTCTTTTATGGATCGTTTCTGGAGCATCTCTACCAAGAGTCCAACAGTAGTCTGCAAGCATGGAAGGATTCCACTTTCCCTGGTACCTTTTTTCCATTGTTGAAATATTCTGATGAAAACGTTCGTCGTAATCATCACTTACGGCTCCGCAATTGTCAGGAAAAAGTCCAGGTGTGAGTGTAGGAAATGTATCTTAAGAGACATATTACAGCCCATCTTTTGATACGATGACAGCATATTTTTGACAAGGGTTTTATAGTTGTCAGCTTTTATATTTCCTAAGAAATTAGTGACCACCAGACGGAAGTCATTCCAAGCAGTTTTTTTCAATACCTGTTAAGTGTTTCAAAACTGTGTATCTTCAAAATATTTCGAATCTGTGGCCCAACAAAATACCTTCTTTAACCTTTGCCTCACTTAGTCTTGGAAATTTCTGACGCAGGTATTGAAAACGCTGACCCTATCTCTACTCTAATGCCTTGACAAAGTTTTTCATTAGGCCCAACTTGATATGCAGTGGTGGTAATAAATTTTTTTTCGAAATCTACTAATGGCATATGCTGTACATTTTTTTGACCTGGCTCTAGGAATTGACGAACAGGCCAGTTTGTCTGGTGTAATGAAGTGCCTTTGCCCGACTGTCCCATTCACACAAAAAACAGCAAAACTTTGTGTAGCCTAGCTGCAGCCCAAGTAAAAGTGCAACAACTTTCAAATCGCCACAAATATGCCATTGGTGCTCATCGTATTTTATGCATGTAATAGGTACTTCATATTGTCATATGATTCTTTCATTGTGAACTGCATACCCTACAGGAAGAGATGGTAAATATTTCCAATATGCAATAACACTGCCTTTAAACTCAATGTTGAACTGTCTATAAACAATCTCCATTCTTCTGGGTTATAGTTTATATTTAAAGCCGCCAGTAAGCCGTTAATGTTACTGCAGAAAACCAAGTTATTCTCCATATTGAAAAATGGTTCTAAGTCTTTGTGGCGTTTACGAAAAACACATACCGAAACATCGTCTTCTAACAAGTTCCACTGCTGCAGTCTTGATCCAAGTAACTCTGCCTTACATTTGGAAGTTCTAAATCTCTTACAAGATCATTTAATTCTGACTGTGTTATTTTGTGCGGTTGGTGGCATGACGTGCTCGGTATAAAATCAGGATCTCTTGACGTTGATGGCATATCTTCTTCCTGACGAATCACTCGATCGCCATTGATCTGATTCGTTTCTGATTCGCAAGTGTAGGTTCTGGGGGTTTTGAATAGGATTTTCGTCACTGTGAGGCACAGGTCTCATCGCAGATGGTATGTTGGGTAGTTAATAACCGATTTTTTTTTCTTGGACATACCTGTGGCTTGTCCAACACAAGGTACCATGCAAAAGTTAATCATTAATATGATTTGTAGGCTCTCTCCAAACCATTGGGACAGCAAAGCGCATAGACCGTTTTTTGCCATTTAACCAGCTCCTCAGACTTGAAGCACATGTATTACAGCAGATGTGGGGTGCCCCCCTGTTTGTCTTGCTCACCTCGTTTCCCCCGCCTCCGCTGCTCTGCCTTTGTTCTTCGTGGCGTCCTCGACCGTCTCTGCGCCGCCCCGTCCCCTCCCCCCCCCCGTCCCCCCCCTGCTCTGGATTGTTTCCCCCCTTTCGCGCCATCTTGCCTGCCCGCTGTCGCCCTGCGGCCCCTGGCTCCTCTCCCCTATCCTGTACACGTATGTCTAACGTAACCCTCATGCCGATTACATCATCTTTCCTTGCCGATATAAAAATGTAGCACGTGCATTCTTGTGAATTACAGTATATTAACACTATCACAGCAGGAACACATATAATTACCGTATCTCTAAAACTTGAACTAATATTGAAAAAATAAGTTTCATTCCGGTTTTAGCACATTAAAAATAGTAATATTTTGTTGATTTTATTTAGGATATTTTTTGGCTGTTGATCAGTGAACCTTTCCTCTACCCATTTTGAAAACCTTAACTACCCAAAACCATTTTAAACGTATTCTGACAGCTGTGATTAATAAAACAATTGTCATGGCTTTATTTTTCACAGCCACCTATGCGTTATAGACTTCTTTTGCATTGAAATGAAAATAGGTTGATATGCTGTAATTACAACATGTCTTTTTTTATGCTGCAAATTTGATTAGGGAGTGATAAAGTTGGTGTTTCTACTATATATTATCAAAATATTCATTGTTAATATTTTAAACCTATAACACCGTGCTACATTTTTATTATTTGTGTTTGATAAGGAAAAAACTAAGATTTCAATAGTTGGGCCAACTGAAGTGGGAAGGGGCTCGTATGATTAGACTATAACATATACAGACATACGGACAAAGCGAAACACAGTAAAATAAGTAAGTACATTGGCACAGCCGCAAATGCGGGAGATAATAAATATAAACACACCAGCGAAAAAAATACATAGAGTTATGTAATGAGTATGATCATTAGCGCATGCGGAAACGCGGGACAGACTAAAATAAAAAATAATACGAACATTTACAAAAGGAGAATGCTTTTTTTCTTAGATAGTCTTTGAG